CCCGCAATTTTCACTGTTTTGCAACAGGCCAACATCAACAATCAACATCTAGATATCTATCATAGATATATTATAATATTATAGTCAAAATTTTTTACCCGAAGTAAAGAAAGAAAAACAGATATTTTCAAATAAGTACCTACATGTAAGGTAATAATAATATTAATACACCGGCTTCAAAACCACTCATAGTTTTACTATCAATAAAAAATTGGAAAATCGACAAAGATATCACACAAAAAACTGCAGAAATTAGTACCTCCACCTCTTTAAAGTCAGTCAATAAAATAAAGCTTTAACACAGCACCCTTAATGCTATCGAGTTCAATTTATCTCATGGCAGAAGCAATGATTATTGATTAGTGATGATAGGCGTGGTAATAATACCACATTGTCATAATGTACCTCGATATTTGACTTAATTGCGTATAATATTGCTACTACGAGTAAGTCCTGTATAAATTAGTGTCTAGTGTCTGGTTTGATAAATTTACATGAATAGCAGCCTTGTAAAACTTGCCATATATGTATGTAGGCACTAATATTATGAATGTGAAGGTAACTCTGTATGTCTGTTACGGTTTCATACCTTAAATTCTGCACTAATTTTGATGAATTTTGGTACATACTCGTAGATTGATGAAGAAGGAGAGAGGCTGCTTTATGTCACGAAAATAAAATCTTTTGCGGCTAGAGACAAGGATGAGTTACCTATATATTTTTGTATATTATATTTATAGCAAGGGAGGGGTATATTATATTGAAGATCTTGATGTGGCAGCAAGTGTGGGATTATAAATTCAAAAAATACCTAGAGGCGCACCCGAGCGATGCTAGCTAAGTCACTAACTATTGCATACAAAAACTTTTTAACAAAAAAATAAAAACCGACTTCCAACAAAAGCACTAAAAAGTAAAAAATAACTGATTGGTAGTTTTCATTTACTATACATACCTAATCAAATATTTTCGAAGTCGGTGTGCTTTGCTTTGTATGGTCTGGCACCGATTTCGAAAATATTTGATTAGGTATATGTATTTAATAGGTAGGCTTTAATTACTTAGCCTTGTCTGTCTGTAACCGCATCACGAGAAAACCACTGGACTGATTTTGATGAAATTTGGTATGATGACAACCTATTATCCGGGTCAAAATAAAGTGCGGGAAAATATCTCATCTCTAAGAAAACTACACTAGCCGTTAAAACGTAATATTAGTACATATTTAGTATTAAATATTTATATTTTTAAATTGTCACTTGGGCTAATTAATTTAGTATTGACTAATATATTATTTTGTAATTGTATATGAATAAAGGATGTCTTACCAATTTACCTATTAGAGGAAGAGCCCGTGAACGCCAGACCTTCGTCATTTTATAAAGGCTGAAAGTTTGTCAGCGCATGCTCCCGACACAGATAAGAACGATGGACCATTATGAAGTTCAGGCTATGGTGGCTTTGGCAGGTAGACTGTACTAAAGGTGTGCAAAATACCGATCTAAATTCGTATGTATTCGTTGTGTAATAAATGCTACGCTAGCAGTCTTATAAATCATCTAATCATTACCCAAGTATTATATATAAAAATCAGCTTTTATACTATAACGTAGGTAGAATTATGATTTCATGAAAAGGGTGTCTGGCAAGGGTTTGCCACGATGTTAAGTGTCTGGCATTGAATGACGTGATTTTTAATAATATTCTGAAGGTAATACCAAAAAATCACACTTTATTATTTGATGAATTTAGATCGGTATTTTACACACCCTTAGTACCGTGTACCTGCCAAAGCCTTTGCATTTTTTTATCTGTGTTGGGATCATGCGCTGACAAACTTTCAGCTTTTATAAAATGACGAAGGTCTGGCGTTCACAGGCTCTTAGGCCATATGTATTCTTAAATAGTCTGTTCAGTATATTTTTGTTTCCCTTATATATTAGTCCGATATTATAAAAAATATATATTGACTACACTGTTATATTAAGTTGGAGGTTTATTAAGGTCATAAATATTACACACATTAACCTTCATACATTTTGTTAGTATAAAGTCAAATAAATAAAAAAAACTCCTTCAAAAAAATTCACAAAAATTTAAGTCATCTAGATATTAGAACATCATATATGTAAGTGGAATAAAAAATCAAATCATAAATTAAAAACAGGTACATTTTATTGAAAAAAAATATGTACACAGCAAAACAAATAAATAATCTTATGTTGTACAATTATTAAGTCTATAAAACATTAATTTCATTGAAATAGAATATTATACATAACTACAGTAAGAATATTTACATAATACCGTCTCATGGGATGTGTTCCGGCGTCGCGTAAACGATATCCCTAACATACGTAAATATAAAACAGTCGGCTTAGTGATGGGCGATTACGAGTTACAGATAATCGATTAAAAAAATATCGATCATTTTGAAATTAATGTAAGATTAGTCGCAACATTATTAAATAATCGTCTTTAAAAAAATACTATCTTAGTTTAATTTATTTTAATGTTATAATTTAGCTTTAAAACAATCCTATTTTGAAAATAATCAATTATATAGTATTATGTCGAATATTATGCATTTTAAGGAAGTTTTATATTTTTAACGTTACAATTACTACTAATAAAGATTACAATTTTTATAATATTAAAATAGAATTAACGTTGATATCAAATTAGAGGACAATGAAATTTTGTAAGTTTTACAAAGCTTAGATCTCATAACCACCCATCACTTAACCATTAATCCTTGATACATCAATGTCCAAAGATCATATAAATTAATTTTACACAGACAATATTATCTAACAATGACCGTTAACAAATTTCCTATCAAAATTTATCCATCATCTAATAATAATCTAACTACGATTTTTAGAAAAAAAAAAACATTTATTATCTACATAATATTATTGTGATTAAAAAGCATTTTAGAAATGTTTTAAATTAAACTCCCTTGTACCAAAAAACAGAAACTTACTACACTTAGAGTGAAATATTCTTAAGTTCAATGATAAACGATGAACCCGAGGTGTCCATCTTGTGATGTTAATATCAGCTTGCGGTATAAACGTTTAAATCTCGAATGTACGCTTCAAAACCTTTTATTATAATATTTATCACATAATATCCTTTTTTTTGTTCAGAGTCGATGACATTTTATGGCCCAATGTTCAATATACATACGTTCAAATGTCATGGAAACTATACTAACAACGCGTATAGGCCTAAGTTATCGGTATAAATATTATATTTAATTATGTATTTATGTATAAAATGTGTTAAAATTATAACTTTTTAACAAAAATAATGTAAACTACTAAGAAATATATTAAAAATGAGATTATATAATTCTCAACTGAAATATCCTACTGGCATTTAATTGTTAATTTTCTTTAGTAAAATTGTAAAGATATTTAATTAATGTTCCGACATTGCAAAACAAATATTACTTACTGTTCGACAATTCCAAATTCAAATATATAATTTGTAAATATGTTATAAATCAGCTGTTCCGAAAGTCCGCCATTTTGTCGACAGTTGTGCCAACCTTAAAACTATTCAGTGGTCAACAAAGCTCAAACACAACCGCAAACAAATATACTGTCCGAAAGTAAATAAAATACTGCATTTATTTATGTAAAGTAGGTCACCAGGCCCGTTTATTGTCAATTCGCGTTACCTACAATTTAATATGCTCAATATTTTGACTAGAAACCATGTTACTTTCTAACAAAACGTAAAAATGTACACGATAAATATAGCACTATTCATTTACATGTTTAATTATAATTGTACAAAATGTCGATGAAAATTGTGATATAATTCAAAATGGCCGACACGCGTCGACCAAAAAAATATGGCGTTATTTAACGCAATTTAAAAACCTAACTCGCAAATCTTTACAGTACCTATCCGTACTATGTACGACAGAAGCATATTTTAGAAGTTTTGGTACGAAATGAATATTATAATTTTATTTATATAAACTCATATGTATAGAATCTCTTCATACTTTTACTTTTAATGATGACTGATTAGCTTATATATTTATGTTACTCTAATAAAAAGTTTATAAGTGATTCAATCACATCTACAACTAGCTGCTAACATTTCTATTAATTTATTATTATAAAAAAAAAACAATTTGAAATTTAAAATATTTACAGATTTATCCGGACTGAGGCACCTCAAAAACAAGATGTCCGTTTAAATTATGAACGAATGAATGAAATTAAAATTAAGAATTAAATATTTAATTCGTTCATTCATTCATAATACATATAAGAAAAAATAATAATAATTTAGCTACCAATATTTATTAGGCTGTATGTATGTATGCATCGTTTGAAAATGATAAGTTGCCAACATCAAATATATAAAGAACAAAAACAACTTAAATATAACTAATTCTATTGTTATTTAGAATAAATATAATATTAATCTGAATTACATCTACTAAAATATATTATATATTGTAATAATCTAAACTAAATATTATATTTTTTGACATCAACAATTTATCACTTTCATGCGACCTTATTCTGGATTATATGTCACTTATTCGTAATAAAAGAATCTATTCTTTAATATTAATAGTACACCATATAATAAAGTTATTTCAAAACCCAGATTTTAAATTCCCTTCATCATATGACGCAAATAATTTTATTTACAATAATGGAGTTAAATGTATGTATACTTTAAAAGGACTTATTGTATAGACATTCAAATATGTAAGAAAACTATTGAATTGCATCTATATTGAAACCTTTTTTATGGACACTTTTATATAGAGTACTTTATTTATACGATTTTTGAAAGGATTTCGATTAATCGATAAAATCGAATAGCAAATCGATTTAAATGGACTCTATTGAAAAATTATACTAAAAACGTAATTTAATTCAATTTTTTCGAAGAATGAAATAACATCAAAATGCTTAAAACCATTCTCACATTAACTGGACTATATTAAATATTTTTATTTGTCATCGGGAACTTCTCAAGCGAGTTCCGTCGACTTTGGCCGCATTTTTTCTGTGTTTTTTAATTTTAGTTTTGCGTCTGGGTGTTTCTATTATATCCGTCGGGACGCCATCGTCTTCGGATTTATCTCTGTTTTCCGTTTTCTTGTCCAATTCCGCCATTGCTTCTTGAATAGCATTTTCCAAAAGCGTATTTAATTTTCTGCTCCTGTACAAAGCAAATTTTAATGAAAAAATCAATTAAAACTCTAAAAAATCTTAATATATCAGCAATTTTTATTTTATTCTTACAGAAAATTATTCATATAATAAAATATAATCATTAGTCACGCCTAACGTTTGTGTTATCTAATTGTGATGTTTTTATAACACTTTCATTATTAGGGCCAAAGTAAAAAAAAACAGTGTAAGAAGTGTATTATATTGAAACATAATTTAATTTTTACGCCTTTTCATACCTACGCATTTATATTGACTTTGGGTTGGGTTAATTTCACAAAATTAAATAAAAATTGTGGATGGACAACGTTTTTGATGTAGGTGAATCAACCATTAACTAAAAAAATTAAAACAAAAATACATACAAAGACATTCATACAGCTACAAGTATAAACGACTCAATAATTTGATATTTAGGTTTAACTACTACATTTCAAAAGCGTTTCCCTCTTATGGTTAAGTTATTAGAACGCGTACTTCGCATCATATTTTCTTATATTTATTACATTATTAGTTTATATTTTAAATTTAAATTATAAATATTTATACAGTTTTTTATGAAACTAAATAATTTTGCAAACTAATATTACCTTTTTAAAGTAAATTATTAAATTAAGTATTTCTCTATATGATGATACAAGCAGCGTGTACCAAATTAAAATTTTATTATAAACCCTTAACTCATACACATCATAGAAAGAGCCATCTGAAGATAATTTTTGCTGTATTTAAAAAAAAGTTTCATAAAAAATATTGCTTTTATTGCAAACATGCTTTTATTTTTCATGTATTCTGTTTTTCATGTATTAGTTCTACTTCAAATATTTCTGTTAGATTGTCAACTGTCACCGTCATATTAATAAGCTACATAAATCAATAAAAAACGAAAAAAAACAATATGTTTTAAATAAAACTATCTTTTCGGTTTTTTTCGGGGATTTATTTTGATTTTATTGAACCGATCCGCGAATATATCCGAAAAATATTTTTTTTAAATGTCAAATATTCGCGTAGATCTAAGAAAGTATTATACCAATATGTTTGTTTTTATTGATTTTTATATATAGATAATAAATTCAATATTTAATGTTACATATAAAACAAAATCATCTCCAAACGGCTCTCATTGCTATAAACTCACTTCCTATGCCTCATTCTGGCCGCGTGGTGCGCTTCGAGTCCTTCACAGAGCGTCAACAGTCTAGAATGTTCCACTTCACTCGGTATCCTATCTCCGAACCATCTTACACTCCATTTACTCTCCGAAACTTTATTTTCCAATTTCCCCGGCCATGACGAGTACCCCTTCACTGGACCCCATACGAGATCCCCGATTGAGAATTTCCGAATCGATTTGTTGTCCGATTTATCTTCGGATTCGTCTTCACTCTTCGAATCTAGCAACGAATCATCGTTAACTTGCCGTTGTTTTAAAACTATCCAACACCGTTCCGACACCTTTATATTATTATGGGACGATTTTCAACGATTATTTGATTTATTTACAAAATAATATATAATAACAAAACATAAACAAATAATTATTATCATTCAAAATCGTCCCATTGAAGAAAGATAGGTTAAGATTTCTTATGTAACAAAGGATAACAAAATATATAATTATCAAAAACTTCGGACCAAAAAAATCTTTTCCACAACGACTATACAAAAAAATCTTAACTATATCTTTATAATCTATGTATCAAATACATTTTTATAAAATAGCATAAGCTACAGCGACATTTTTAATATAAGCCGTGTTGCTATAAGTGTGATTATTAAGGAACAGTAATTCACAAAAACAACGTTTTCACAAATCATCTGTTTAGCAAACTTAGATAGTAGAGAAATGGTCGTGGAAATAATATCTCGTCCCAATATATAAACGTAAAATACATTTTTTGCCTTCACTTAAATTAAAATGATAATATGTTATCATAAAAATGTTTTACTGCGATGCTATTTGTTTCATAAACGAAAGTAAATCATTCACTCATAGGTGGGTAGTTTCCTTTTTTTTTTCAAACAAAATTTTCGTATTCTATATATCTTAGAAACTCCAAAAAAGGCTAGTAATAATGCCGAATGTTATCTTAAATCCCATATAACTTTATAGTTAATGCATATTTAGTTAAGGTATATTTAAATATCATATATTTTTAAAACAGTCCGGTAAAGTAAATGTGTCCAGAATCCCTTATTCTTATTAACGATAAGAAACAAGTGAAATTATAATTTAATTAAATGATCAATTCAAATATTCTTCATCTGAATTCCTCTCATGACACTACAATGGCATATTACGTCCACGACCAATAAAAGGTTACAGTAATATGAGAATGTGCTTTACTTACAATGAACATATAGAATGATGCCTTTACAGTGATGCGTTAGTAATGGATCCCAATGTGTGAGCCAATTTTGTTACATCGTAACGGTGCAATGGAAAGCGACAGGAAAGTTTTATGGGAAATAATCGTATTATGTTTTCCAATACACCCTGTATAGAGCTGTATCTTGTATTAACCCAACCAAAAGAAAACCAATGAAATATCGCATTTTTTATGAGGAAGCTGAAATATATAATACACATAGTTAACCGTATCTCATGGACGTTGAATTTTGCCGCAACACGAATTCAAACAACCAATACAAGACACAACATAAATAGATAAATTTTGAATTTTGTTAGCTGTGACTGAAGCGTGAGATGGTTCTGTACATATTAGTAGAAATAGGGATTTTTTTTTATTTGTAAAAAACAAACAAATCGGTCAGTCCGTCCGTTCACAACATATAATCACGCATAAAACGTTAAAAGACACGCGTCTAATCAAAATCACAGACAGTAGACACGTGAAAAAACAAATCCAAGATTATTGTTAAAGATCTTAATAGTGAAAAAATTATGGTAATGTCAAATGTGTATAAAATATCAGTTAAGCCGATGAGTAGCGTTCCCATTTATTTGCATTGAAGCATATTAAAGCATTGTTAGTTTACTTACCGTCGCCGGAGTTTAGTCGATCGTACTTCTGAACATGACTTTCAGTACTTCCCGAACTAGAGAAACGACGGGCTTGCTTTTCTTGAGTCATGCCCAAATTTTCGTAATCTTTTGGCAAACCATGTACCATGTTGTAATTTGTTCTCATAATTTTATCGTTTCTGTATGTAGAACCGTCTCCGAAATCGTTCTTTCTCTTGTAGGTATGTGGTCTATCGTATATGTTGGAGGTCATTGGTAATACGTGTTGATTGTTCGACGTCATACTTTGATTGTATTGAATTTCGCTGGACTCAACTGAATTGTGAGCACGATTTAGACGCATCAGTTGTATATTTGACATCATGTCTGAAAAGTAAAGATAAAGGAATTTAAATAATTTATAGGAAATTTAATATTTCCTTCCAGGTCATAAAAGTACATTAAAGTATATATTAGGTTTTAAATATAAAAATTATATGAAGGCCAAATAGGCAATGTTCACCCAGTGGTAACGAACTCGAAGCGGGTTCAAATACAGGGTCTCGCACCTCTGATATTTTTATGTGCGTATCATTTCCAACGTGATTACCACTTGTCTTACGGTGAAGGAAAACATCGAGAATACCTACATGCCTGAGAGAACCTAGCAAGTTTTCGTAAGACAAAAACTTTTGACCAGTATGGTAGAATAGGGCATGATCTCCCTCGTATTGGGAGGCTCGTGCACAGCAGTGGGATGCAGAAAAGGACAGAATACAATGAAAGTCAAGACTTTTAAGAATTTTTAGAAGAAACACCTAAACAGCGAAGAAAGTCTATGTAAAACAATTGCAAATCTATACATGCAATAAAATTTTGAGTCGAAGATGTAGATTAAATATTTTTTGTAAGATTTTATTGAATAGTCATTATTATTGATACGGAAGTCGAATGTATAGTTTTTAGAATTTTTGTCTGTCTGTCTGTGACCGCATCACGAGGAAACCACCGGACAGATTTTGGTGAAATTTAGTATTATGATATCTGGTTATCCGGGTCAACATATTATAGGATACTTTTAATGTGGGAAAATATCTCATCTTTAAGAAATCTATACTAAACGTTAAAACGTAACAACTAGTATATTATATAAAATTCATAAAAAGCTAAATAATTTACCTTATGTGCTCTAAACATTGTTTAGGTATAAAATTATTTATGCAAAAGCAACAAAGAAACACTTGCCACGCTATACCTTAATGCGGGTTGTATCGATAACGATGAGTCTTCCGAATAATATATTTGCATATTCATTTGACATTGTGTAACTTGTTGTATTTATTATTTAAAGAGAAATAGACATTTTTTTTAACAATTATGATTCATATAAGGTGATGGTACTAACCGTACTATACATATAATCTATTTATAAAGTTTTAAAATAATTTCAAAAACGGTAAACTTAATTATTTAGCGATGAGAAAGGTTTTGAGTAACCGTTAGCAACTATACCATAAATTTTGCTCTCATATTTACTTATTTATATAATACTAGCAGCACCCGCGGCTTCGCACGCGTGAAAACTACAACAAAACTCTATAAAGGTAGGTTACACAAACTTTCATCTCCTATTTTACCATCTTATGACATGTAAAAAGTAGCCTATGTCACTCTCTAGCCCTTCAACTATCTCCACACGAAAAATCACTGCAATCCGTTTTGACGTGAAAGAAGGACAAACAGACGAACAAACAAACACACTTTCACATTAATAATAATATGGATGGATGGATGGATTTATGTATACAAAACAAAATAAATAAAGAAGGTGAATAAAATATTAAAAAGTTACAAAACGGTAAAGGCTGTCAACGACTTACATATAAAAATATCTGATTAAGCATCTATAGTAAATGAAAACGCCCCGTTCAGTTATTTTCTACATTTTAGTGCACGCATTACGGAAGTTTTTTTATATTATTTTATTGGAACTAGAACATAAATGATATTACTAACAACTAACGCAAGTATGGACGTAAACACAAGTGCACTCTCTATAATTTCTGTTACTCTCGTCCGCAGGGCCGACGGCTTTACGTGCTCTCCGAGGCACAGGGGTGAAACACCGCCAACTTCCAGACTCCGGGCTATTACTGAGAATGTCTTGACAGAAATACTCAATAACTGAACTCGGCCCGATCCGAGACTCGAACCCAGGACTCACTAAACCACCGAGGCATTAAGTATATATAACTTACTTTGCGAGTCAGAATCAGAGCTGATGTCCCTTGTGGGCCACGCGCGTTCCGACTCCGCCATGTCTTGTTCGCTACTCGATACACACTGCACCATTGCCTGTAATCGTATTTTTTTATATTTATGAATTCTGAAACCCCTTTTATTTATATTATTACACCACACCATATTTAGTTCTAACTTTACGTAGAAGTTGTATTTGAAATATAATTAATTTACTACGAAAAAAAAAACTACTTTTTCCATGTTTTCTCATTACGTGTATTTAATCGAGCCTTTTCTATATAAACATCTCAAACTAAGGAATAATACGAGTATATACAGAGTGTCATAGAACATAACAAGAAACCAACCAATAATATTTTAAAATATTATTTATGATACACAAATGACAATTTGTATACTAAGTTAATTAGTAAACAATTGTTAATAAATAAAAATAACTAATGAATTTTATTATAATAAAGAAAAAAATTAAATAAAGTAATATTATGCTATATCTCTTTCAAGAGCAACAGTACGAATGCTTAAAAAATACAGAAGAATATATATATATATATATATATATATATATATATATATATATATATATATATATAATATTATTTTTATTATTTATAATATATGGTGAAAAAAAATGAATATAAATTTAACTAATCTATAGATATAATAAAATTCTAACTGAGCCGAATCTGTACATAAAATATTTTTTGAAAAATCTTATTGAAATAGACATTATTATCGATACAGAGGCCAATTCTATAGTTTTTAGAATTTTTGTCTGTCTGTTACCGCATCAGGAGAAAACCACTGGACAGATTTTGATGAAATTTGGTATGATGATAGCTGGTCATCCGGGTCAACATATAGGATATTTTTTACCACGGAAAAATATCTCATTTCTGAGAAAACACAAAAACTGCAATGTAAGAGTATAATAATATGTAAAACCTAAGTATTCGGTTTTTGGTCATATAAACGCGGCCGGGGCCGCGGGTAATGCTAGCTAGTACATATATAAAATTGTCCGTATTCTTTGTATGACAAAACTAAGTATAGTAGCATAAATACATACTAAATCACGCTAGTATATTTGATTTCGACATTAATTTAGGGGACCGTCGATATAATTCTTTAGACTGAGACGAGCATATAGAATACCATTCATACCTATCTAGCCGATCTTAAGTAATGTGCCATTAAACGAACACCCCTTAGAAAAACAATATACATACCTACTGTTAAAAACCCTGAGTGGATAGAGACAAACATTATAACATAAATTCGCTAACGGATTAGAAGGATTTTCATAACTTTAGAAAGTTTGATCGATCTTATTAAACATAAATAATTCAAAAACCAATCAAAATTTTGCTTTAAATACAAGATAACTATGTAAACTTAATTACTTTCTCCATAACTTTTGGATACTCATTATCATATGATTCTGACTTGAGAAACATAAGAAAGACAAAAAAATAAGGTAACTCACCGAAGAGTGCAAATCCGCGGGTTCAGGCGACTTAGTTGTTGTGTCTGCGTAATTTGAATGTGTCGCATATATTCTTGGACTGGAATCCAACGCACCTAACGGACTATGAGTTGTTGTATCTGGTGGCGATCCACCGATCGTATTTGGTGACTTGTTCCCACGTTGTCCTAACGTCTGGGTCGAGACTGAATGTCTTACACCATCCCCTAACTCTTGGATCAAACGTCCATAACCTTCATCTTTATCATCAAACGATTTGTCATCTTGACTAGATTCTCCTGCGGTCAATCTTTTTGGTATTTTCTGGTTTAAAAGCACGTTTGGGTCTATGCTTAGACGGGAGTTGCCACTTTGTAACGATACCTGAGTGTTGTGAGAGTTAGACACTAGAGTTGTTTGTTGTTGGACGATTGTCGTGTTTTGTACGAAAGTGGAATTTGTTCTATTGGTATTTGCAGATATGGGTGCATGTTTAGGGGATAGAGGAACCATTAAAGTCTGACCCATTTGGTTAGTCTGTATGAACTCTTGGGTTTGAACGTTTCCCGATCTCACTTGTGGACTATTAAAAGTTACGTTTGTTGGACTTAAGTTAGCTAGTAGTGGACTCAACTGCCCGTTAAAGTTTGGACTATTGACCATAACTTGACTGTTAGGAGATAAGAACTGTGCGCCGGGACTATGTTGCGATTGTATTATCTTCCCTTGTTGATTTTGGGCTCTAATTACTACTCCACTGTTTGTTCCAGCGGTAAATAATCCGGGATTTTGTACTGGAGTTAAAACGTTCTGCCCATTGACCGTTTGCAACTGGAGTTGCATTGGCATTCCCGTTGAATTATCTTGTATTAAGGCTGTTCCATCAGCGGTCATGACCATGCCACCTAGATTCGGTAAAATAAATTGTTGAAAAGCTGGAAAGTTGGACATAACATTGCTTGCATTATTTATAAGGTTGACTGGCTGTAACAAGTTTATTTGTTGTGATGGTGACGTATTTGTGATGATCTGTTGTGATCCAAAGTTATTTGCGTTTCCTTGTCCGTTCATCACTATATGGGCGGGAGTCCCGGACTTTCCGGGCACTATAGTTAACGCCTGTAACATTGGAGTTGGCGATATATTATTAGTAGGCGACAATTGAAAGCCTCGTGGCGAGAATTGTGGACTAGAATTATGTTGTGGTGACGTGTGATGTACCATCAAGTTATTAGGATTCGTTTGAGGCGCTGTTATTTGTAAAACATTTGTAATATTTGCCGTTTGATTCTTCTTTTTCTTGCTCCTCTTTTTGAGGCTTTCTGGCGATAGCATTGCGACGCCTTGGACGAAACTTTGACCATTTTTGACCTCCATTTGTCTCTGATTTTCATTGGACTGTCCTGAAACTATTCCACCCGTGACTATCTGTGGTAAAACTGTATTTTGCTGTACTACTTGCCCGTCGACAGCCATCATCGGCGGTTGAATTACAAAGGGAGTTTGCAATGTGTTTACAACAACCGTCTGTTGGTTTACCATTGGCTGGACTCCTCCTCCTCCAGCCGGCACGACTTGAGCTACTGATGTATTGGTCACAGTATTTGATCCCATTGGGGACATTGCAGTAGTATTTTTCGGGGGCGGCGGCGGCATTTGATTGTTAGATACAATTATTTGGCCTGTCGATGAAATTAGTATTTGCCCGGACGTGTTGGAGCATGACCTCCTTTGAGCTATTGATGTAGATTGCGAATTGCTCGTTTCTGGTTTGGGCAGACTGCTTATGACATTTTGCACCATTTCAAGAGGCGACTTCGTAATCATATTCTGAGCGGTTGTACCTGCAATATGTAATGGATAACTTGTGGGCAAATTGACAGAATTTATAAAAGGATCAGGCTGATTATTCGGAATAGCGTAAGTTGTTGCCAAATTAACGCTAGGTGGCGGTGGTGGTCTTATGAAGTTTGCTTGAGATGCATTGATAGATGTAGTCGCAGTGTTAGCTTTTCCTGCAAGAACAGACGTAACTGTATCTCGAGTTACTGAAAATCCACTCGCCATAGTAGTAACGAATGTTTGTATGTAGCACGCTTGTATCAGAGAATGAGCCGGACCACCGCCCAAATGCGGCGGTGGGCAATATCCAGGCATAGAATTTTCCATTCTCTTCTTTGACTCCAATCTAAACTCTTGATTTCTTAATTTTGGCTTCACGCCCACCATTGATATGTTATCCACTTCCATGAGATTTTTATTAACATTATGATTTGATATGAAATGCATCACTTGGTTGCCAGAAATCGACTGATTAGGTGGTCCTGGCGAGTTGTAAGGATATGTGTGATTACTACCCGGCGTCGGAGGGTTACTATTGAAATTGTCTCTCGATCCTGGATTCGAATACGCTGGACTAGGGACCGGGAAACTGCAGTTTTGTAACGAATTACTGCTATGAGGCGTATCTGTGCTTCGAGAGCTATTTGATAAGGTTGGCGAAGGTTCTGGAGGCTGTAATGTTTCATTTGGTGAGACATTACTTGTACTCACGACGCCAGCTTGAATCGGCCCGCAATTATCTCCCATCATCCTCTCCATAAACGTTGAAGACGTAACGGGGTTATCATCAAATGCATGTTTAGGACTAGAGGTTGTTGCCACCCCGCTATCCAATTCAATCCCGTAAACATTAGCATGTTTCATAAATTTATTGCGCATTTGGTTTTCTGATGTTTCAGAGCAGTGTCCTTTATAAGGAACGTTGCATCCCTTACAACATGGCGTAAGCGCATTTTCAGTGCATTTTTCGGGAATTAAACTACTATCTGGAGTATTATTGGGTGATGGCGAAGAATTTGGGACAACATTATGCCTAAAAACATTCATTTGATCTCCGGATTTTGTTACGGGCTTATTCTTATCGCCTTGACTCTGAGTATTGTACGAATTGTTTGTGTTCTCATATTGATTGACTTCATATGGAGCGTTGATACCTACTTGTCTCGAAATAGTATTATTTAATAAAACTGTTTGCTGCGCTAAGTATCCATTGGGGTCGTCCATAAACGACGGTACTGTATTTCTAACGACCTCCTCCTGTTTACCTTTCGGATCCTGTAATTGCCGTATACCATTATTCCCGAATAATATTGTCTTGTTATCAGTGGCAGCAGATTTTTTCTTTGGAGTTTTGTTGTTGCCTTTAGTTCTCTTCTTGTTTAAATCAACGCTCGGCCATTGTTGACTCATCATGTTATAATGTTGAGGCAAAGGCGGCACTCGAGAGCACATGCCTTGGTTCATTATTTGCTCGTTATTCGAGAAAGAATTCCCTGGTGACGTTTCTTCTATAGTATTTATATTTGTATCATCATACTCAACATTTTCAATTTTTTGCAATTTAGGACTCGGACAAGTGAGGGAGGGATTAGAATCATTTCTTTTAACTTGCCATGGTGGAGTCTTAGCAGAATTAGTTTTAACGACAGTTCCATTTTGTATGACTAGTTGACCCTGAGGAACGTATTGACTTTGTATTGGTTTATTTTGATTTAAGTTATCCGCCATTTGTGTTTTATAACCTTTCATAACTTCTATCTGCTTTTGATTTCTTTGAATAAATATTTGCTGTTGTTCATTTATCTTTTGCATCACTTCTGGCGTGAGTGGTTGATTTAAACCACAGAATATTTGTGATTCTTCTTCTTTAGGCACCTGTTTCATTATTTGCATATCTTTTTCTTCTTCCTTATGTCCAGCTTCCATCATATTTTGCTGAGCCGCACTTATGGCATTCTTCAAATTAGCAACTTGTTTATTGTATCCTGTATTAACCCCAATGACTTGTCCATTAGTCCCAAGCACTGGTAACCCCACATTTAAAGCATTGTTTAGACCCGACATTTGTTTGTTATGTTTTTGTCCGGATTCAATGTTGTCTGGGTTTTGAGTGATCCAGCCACTGCTAACTGTGAGATAATGTGAGCTTCTTTGAACAAGAGTTTCTTGTTTAACATCATCTTGAACATTCAGCATATTTTGTTGAGAATAAGGCAAACAAGGCTGCATATTGCCTGACCGTTGAGTCATAGATCCGGGCGATGATGTCCGTTTTTGGTCATTTTCAGACTGAAAAACAAAACAATATGCTTTTACTATATTACGTAAACAACAGAATATAATACGTAAGCACACAATGTATCAAGACGATACATAAAAACAGTTAAACATCATGAAAATATAATAAAAGAAGAATCAAATTATGAATATTTGCTTTCGACTGGTCGATATGGGTAATAAAAGTGTCTACGTTTGGCGAGGGCTCAACTCTTATCGACGCTATGAATATATAACACGTACCTTGAGCTCATTGAGGGGTCTTTCCCTTTGAACCATCATTTGTGAAACGCTCACAGTTGGAATGAAACCCGGTCGTTTCTTCATTTTTTTCTTTGTAGCCTCTGGGACAGCTACTGAAAAAAATATTAAAAATTAAACTTATTTTATGTATAATAAGTGAGTACAAACGATTAATAACCGGCTATAATACGAACGATGCATAAAAATCGACAAACTTACATTATCTATTTTAAATTTCTTTGTAAACATAATATTATGTACAATAAACAATTGAGTGACTTTCTTTGATTTGGATCTTTTCATTCTTTTGAACGTAAGGTCGACGAGCGAGCGACCGTGTGACTTTACCGCTCTCCAGACGTCCTCAGATACAAGTCTGTCTGAAGCGTTGTCCTTCTAATTAAATGACACACTACAGCAAGCAGTGTTAATATTCATTTTGAGATAATATCTTAGCATTGTTTAAGCAAACGGCGCACAATATAATGCTGTTTTTCAGTTTAACATTGCAAATTAAAAGTACCTACTCATATTTTTAACTCTATATATTGATAATATGGATATTGATATAACACCTCCAGGTAAATATCTAAGAAATTAATTAAATTTCTAAGAAATTAATAAAATTTTTAAGAAATCTAACTAATTGGTAGTGAAGGGAATAATCAACAAAAAAAAGAAATATAAGTTTTCCTTATCAAAATACCGATATGTTTATGTAGGTATATTAATTGTAAAAAAATTAAAAAGGTTTTTTTTATGTACTTAACGTGTATTTATGTAGTATTTATTCAGTTCTCTTCAGTCTATACGATAATGAAAATAGTAATTTGTTATTCATAAATGTTAAAGTAAACATTCTACTCAGCGGTATTGACTAATTAAGAGCTTTATGAAGACCTGAGGGCGTGTAATACCGCAGCCGCAGTGAAAATTCGCCATTATGACGCAACAATACTCCCCTTTCAATCAACTTGCTAATCGACAAAAAGCCTTTGAATATATCTAAGCGATTGTTTAACGAATAAAAGTCTTTAAGAAATACCTTCATCAAGTCCTTACTTTTACTTGTTTGTTGTTTAATTAACTGACTTCATCTTGTTTCGTTTACATAAAACATTCAAACGTAGCTTTCCTTTAATAGAAATAGGGAAAATATAGCTAATATAACATTTAAGAATTGTTAATTAAAAAGTAATTAATCAATGATAAGCCTCAATAATTTAATAGGATTAAAATATAGCGTATAATAACGTGAAAGCTCTTTACTTAATCCCAGCTTTTCGTCTCAACGAGAGTAAGCTTAGTGGGAGTTCTAAATAATCTGATACTGTTCTAATTAGAAATAAATCGTGTAACATTTCGTAAATTAATTTAAGAATATTAATGAAGACAAACGCCCCCACAAATAAGAAAAGTTAAAAGAGGCGTAATATGATAGCGCTAAATAATAAACGCGGGATATAATGGCGTTATCTATTTGCGCATTATCTGGCAGATTTGCAATTAAAATACGAGTTGTATGCGGAGGGGTGGGGGGTGGAAAGGCGCCAGGGGTGGGTGGCGCGAGTCAGATCAATAGTCGGCGGGGTGCGTCCCACGCTACCCTGCAACGCCGATTGTTTCAAATTACACCCGCCTTTGTTCCGCTGATCGAGTCGCCGACGTTTTTGTTTGCCTAAACGGCCTACTTCCTTTACGGTAATTACGCAATCCTGCGGCTCGTGTAAACTTCCCGATTTGTCCACTCCGAGCGTTAATCTCCTTTAGCGGTATCGGCTTTTACTCTAGCTTAGGAGCGTTTAACGATACTTTGCGTAACGTGCTTTAACATATTTTTATGGGCCGTAACCTAAGTTTTTACGACGCACGTTTTTTAGACTCGAGTGTCTTACGTCGTATATCTTAATGTACAAGCAATATCTTATGATCCATATGAAATCATTTCAGATAGTATTATTTAGAGATATTTGTAATAAATAAGAACAAATCTATAGCTAATATAATAAATACATGCGATCGAATCCTCCTACTAGGAAAATCATCTACGTCGAATACCGAAGCATTATGTTAAAAGGGTATGATGGAGTGAATTTATATTATATTCAAAGCCATTGACATAATATCGTATACCTAACATAAAAGAAATGAGAGAACTCAAAGAAAACATCTTAGTAGGGTACTTGAAGCAATATTCTTGTGTATAAAAAAGCAATAAAAACTTGCGCACTCGAGATGAATAAATAGTAAACTTACAAGTTTTATAAACACGTAACGGTCTATTTATGTCGCAGGATGGGGAGGCTTTCTCTTTTAACAAGTTTATTGCGGGTATTAGTGGGAGTTTCTAATTAGTCGGAAAGCTGTATTTATATTTTCAAAGCATCATTCCGAGATAAATGTTACATGTAATTACTGTCACTGTTAGCCTAAATCAACCTGTACGTTTCCAGACTTTACAGTACCCTACTTGCGGGTTCTAGTCCAGCTGGGGGCATTCATTTGCGTGATGAGCACGCATGTTTGTACTCGAATCATGGGTGTTTATATTTATAATATTTATGTATTTAAATTTTAAAGTTATATATGTTTAGGGTATCAACTATCTGGTATCCAAAACACAAGCCATGTAGCTTACCATGGAACTAGATGATGCTGTGTGTTTATGTCCCAACATATTTATTAATTTGCGCAAGTACCTATAAGATAAATAATTGCAAAATAAAAGAGGGACAACCAATTAATATATAACAAATTTGCAATTCTAAACTCTAAACATTAACCTAGGAATAATTACATCCTAGAATCTCGCTCCATTGTATTAAGAAACTAAACGCTTCTCGGAACTGTTTACAAGACGTGCCGGTTTTCTTAAGATTTCCAACTTTTGAATGGTTTCTTGAGTTGGCTATTACGGCTTTTCAAATAGCACGTCGTTTCATTAGAGCGGAGGTAATGTACAGGTCGCTATACCAAGTCGTTGACATCTAGTCATTGAGACTGTTTTTATAAGTCGTAGAGTTCCAAACTGAAATACTGTGATATAAAATAATGCTTTCCGTCTGGATTATTAATGTGTTTTTTATCTTTATTGAACACTTTATATAGCGATGTGCTGTCTGACGATTATTTTAATGAAAAAAGACACAATATGGTAATATTTTACATTCGTTTTATTTGATATGATAAGCTGTCTCGTTCAGCTCTAAGCGTCGCATAATCAATTAAATACGAACTTAAAACTCGAGTTTATATAACGTAATTGAGTCGAGCAAAGTTTGAGCCAGTTCTGTGAAAAGACAATAAGATTTAGCAGTATTAGACATCTAATGAATAAACTTCTGTATAAAGTTAATTTAACAGTAACAGTATTACTAAAGGTCAAGTAACCTCGTTAAGCTTTGACGCTTGAGAAGGTGACAATGTAGAGAAATTAACATAAGTGAGTAAAAACACGGGTGGTGGAGTGACGCGTCCAGGAGGGTGAGTGCATGCAGGCTACTCCCGGACGGACGGCTGACGAAGTAGTTGCCCACCTATTGCCACTGCACCCCCCTCCGCCACTTAACAACAAAGAGATCTACCCTCTTTGTTACAAGAAATAACTCTTCCCGGCTACCACTTTTCAGTAGCTTTACTTTTAAATAGACAATTTAACTAACTTCAAGAGCTTCTCACGTTTCAATATTTTTCTATCGTATAAAATTTAGACTTCTTTGTCACTTAATAGCCCTAGACCCTCCTATTTTTTTCACAATAATGAGAGAATAAAAATAACTTAAAATGTGTGTTACTATAGTTTCCTTTATGAAATAGAAAAAAGTGCATTGAAGCAAAACAATACAACAAACACGACAACAGGACAAAAGCATAAAAAACTTAAACAAAAACCAAAAAGGCCTACAACGTTGATGCTTACAAAACGCGAATGTGATGGTTACTACTATATTTGACGCCAAACATGATTTCATAATAGTATTCAGTATGTATTCAGCTCTCCTTAACGTCCCACTGCTGGGCACGGGCCTCCCTTCAGTACGAGGGGATCAGGCCATAATCCATACAGTTAGCTATTTACCTGAACACTGTTTTGATCTACATGCAGTTTCCTTACATAATGTCTTATAAGCGATTTTGATAACCATGAATAGTGTTACCTACTTATTTCGACAAAGATTATGAATCAGAAAATATTTTCTTTAGAAACAACGTAAGTAAAGTAGGGACCCATGATTAACGACACCCTGCAAGTCTTTCAATAAGTACAAACGTCATGCTGATAGTTTTCTTCCTTTATGAAATCATATTTTTGGTGTTAAAAATAGGTAAACGCAAGATATTATGTAGCATTTTATTATACATATTTAGGAAGATTGGTTTCAGTTTGGATGTACCGTTTTGTTGGGATTTTAAACAAACCTAACAGTCTATGTGGCCCCAAAATGTATTAAATTATGTCTTATTTTATAAATAAAGCAAACTGTTATTTTCACAGGATATATATAAAATTAAACAAAGTATAAGCTTCTAAGAATTAGAATAATTCTTCTTGAATAAGAATGAACACCATAAAACGTCAGTACTTGATACTTTCAAATTATAGAAAGCATAAACTGTTATTCCACAACAGTAAATATATTTAAGAATATAATCGACCACCTAGTTTATAGTTGCATGACTGAAGCCATGAATCAGTCAACAAATAAATAATTTAGTATTGTTATATTATTTACAGTTATAATTTAAACGATGCGTTGCACTAAACATGTAGACTTTACTTCTAATGTACTCATTTCGATAATATTATATGTTAGGAGAATCATTTAAATTATGAAGTTTATATTTAGATAACAAAAAGATAAGTCAATCTACGAATCAATAGTATCGTAGGAGAACTACAATGCGTTATCAAAGACCGGCACGGGTCCATAGTTAATCCCATTGGGTTCACACTCGTGTAATTGGATGAGAGAGGGATGCCCGGAGATTGCACCGGAACACTAAGCGGATAATAATGTTCGCAAACTAAAGCCAACACCGTACTACGATGAAAAACATTGTTCCACACTGTTACGCAACGTACACTCAGCTTAATAAGATTGAAGACCTTTCTGTTGTTAGATGATATCGGCTTGCGCCATAATGTAATAGGTTTGGGCTACTTTAAAAAATTGAATGCTATAATTTTAAATTGTATGCCGCGGAAATATAATGAAGAGATATTATGGTAGACGTTTTAATTTTGTAAAGTACGAGGAACCTACTTTCGAAATAACAAATAAAGTACATAAATAATTTTATGTTTTGCGAATGCAAGTCTTCTCTATTAAGTATCATCAGTGGAGTGCTGTGGTGTATTAAACAAGAGCTAGGTAACAGCGAAGTTGAAAATAGAGATGGAAAAAGAATATTTTTTTGTCGTGTCTCCCCTGCTTTTTCTTCTTCCTTTCTTGATATGGGTCAATAAATTCCGAAATATATTACTTCGTTAAATAAAAAAGAACGTGTGTGTGTACTTATGTGTGCACGTAAGAAGTTATATTTCTTTGACGTAATAGAACAAAAATAGCTAAAGATTTCATCCCGTATGTCACAACTCTCTGATTGTTAAAGGAATGCAGTTAACTTCATTATGTCGCTTTTTGGCTGTCGGTGTGCGCGCGCATCGTAAAAATTTTACCCTCATATTTTTTGCCAAACGTGCCAAAAGAAGTATAACTTCAAAAATATTCAATTAGCATATTATATAATAAAATCTCCACTCATACATAACAATGTGTAAACATTTTACATACAATGAGCATAAGGTTGTATCCGCTCTACTGCAAGCGCTTTCACCAGTGAAGTCAGCTCGAGTAGTCGAGTGTAACATAAAGGCTTTTAATTCAACGTTAATTGCTAAGGGAGGCGGAACACGAGGACAGGGCCGTTACGCGATTATGAAGCGAGCCTAATGTGGAAACTTTCGCAGAAACCTATTTTGTAATATCAATGTTATATTATAATCGGATTTAATGAGTGTCTCGCAATTTCTCTATGTTTATTTGAAATTCATGTGCTTATTCATAAATGGTTATTTAACATCGAATTATTATATTCGAGTAAATATTTTTCTTCATTAATTGATCGTTAGGTAATTATAAAAAATATATTAGTTCCGGGACAATACTATTTCATATAACACACTTAATATTCACATAATATTATCATAATTTTCTTGAATAGTATTTATTAGTTACTGTTTATTAATAACCTAAGTTAGAAAAATAATAATAAATTTATCGATCAAACTAACAATAGTCTTAATATTATATTCTAATCAAGTCGGATACCTTTGCATAGAACAAAGTACATTTATACCTATAGGCATATTGTTTTTATCCACAATCATTAAATGTAACTTATCTTTGGATCTATCATATCGAACTATCACATGTGCCACAAAAGAATTTCCATGAAAAATTATCAAGTCATTGAAATGAGATGCGTTCAAACAGAAGAAAAACTAAATCAATTCTAAAATCTTTTGACACAGAAAATACCAAAAAGATATCTACTTATATTTAACTTACAATTAGACCACTTTACGATTTTCAACCGACATGTGTACATACCTTTCTTTTGATCGATTGTCTGTGGCGGCGGCGTGACCGGCGACTGAACGCGCGATTGCAGAGATGCCAATAGTTTCCGCTTGTGATTACACAGCTTGGTCAACTCCGCGCCGGCTGCCACTTGGTATGGCTTGCTTACCACCTAAGTACAATGAAAAAAATGCAACAATTAGTTACTTAAGTATAAAACATAATTATTATAGGTACACTTGTCGTGGTATTCCTATTACTAAAGCATTTCGTTATATTGCTTATTCCCAAGATAATATTCGATTTCATAATGTATATAATAAGTAGATACATATAATATGAAAATCTAATCTCACAATACTAATTTTCGATTTCTAATCCGTCAATTACTAAAATCACTTCAGTAATACGTACTTTGGGCGTAGTGTTTCTACCTAATTATATACGAATTGCTTTTGGAGTAATGGACTTATAAAATTCATACTCTATGATTAAATTACAGTTTATAAGGTAATTTCCTTGTTCATAAGACGGCAAACTAAATGATTGATTGAATATAAACAATCTATGAAGTATTAAAGGAATAAAATTATAGAAAAAACATACCTATCATAAAATAATTACATAAAAACATACAGTTGTTTTTTATTCAAAAATAAAAACCAATTATGTTTAGATTAATCTTCTTCAAGTTCAAACATACCTAGATTTTCTTTTTCCTTATTTTAAGTGATCTTAAAGTCAGTACCTATACCAAAATCACTATTTATAAATTATTTTAGTACGGATAAGAAATATAATATTGAGTAAAATAATGTAATCTAAATATATACTTTGCATATTCAATCGATTACCAATTGGTTTCAGTCCATTATCGAATGCAATCATTTATACCTATAGAACACATACAAATATTATTATATACATACAAAAAGAAGTATGGCTGTTTTAACATAATAATACCTATATTTAAAAACCTTTTATATTAGTTCAAATGCAACCAATATACGCAGGATACGCAGATGTGCTGTTGGAAGTGTGATTGCGTTCGTCATCCATTACGGATGGGCGCCTCATGTGCATGGCTGCACACACAAATTGCCACGCCATTCTACTCGTTCAACTAACGATATGATAGAAATGGCATCACCGATATTTATGTAATGTTTTAAACAAATACATAAATTAAAAAGGAAACAATCACTTCGCTCAGACTCTAATAAACCGCATTATTTAATAACTTATTGCAATATATGTATATATAATTTGCTATAGGAGATAGTTCAATGATCGGAATCAAAAGTAGCTTACTACTAGAGAGTGTCATCTACTCCTTTCATATAACATACGTACTTAAAGTGGAATAAAACTGTTGTTGTGTGGAATGCGAAGAAAAATTGTAAGCACTCATTAATTATATATATTATATTACATAAGTAGTCGACTTGCGATACCTAATTTTTAAGACAAATAATAACAGTCTATCAAAGTTATGATTTACAAATTTTACGTCTTAATAATAATAAACTAAGTTCTTCACATATCACTTCTACTGTATATCGTTCCAAGGATAAAACTGCTTTGTACACAGTGTGCAGACAAAACTGCCGTAAACGCTGGTTGCACTTTGCGATTGCGAGGCTCACTTTAACGCTATTGTGGTTTGCACACCGCGTCTTTACACCTCCACTCCTTCAAATTACTTACTTATCCCAACAATGTTATTACGGGACCGTAAATACCCTATTTGAGACTGCCATGTTTACTTTTTTTTTATTTGTAAATATCGAGCCCTTGGTCTTAATCTTGCGGTTGGAAGCTTTGTAAAAATTTAATTGCAAGTAGATGATGCAATTAAAGTATGCTATACATATTAAATACAAAAAAAAATGCCGACCGCAAAATTATTGCCTGTAAAAAATAATAAATTTTGCTAAGTCGCGTCGTGATTATTATCGATAAATTACATATAAAGATTATGTTACGTTTCGTTTTAATACAAAAAAAAATGATGAAAAATTACTGCTCGTTAACTTTGCTACTAATGACATACTTTTACTTTAACTGTAATGCGTTAGCAAAAACTGTAATTATTAGAGCAAGAAAAAAAATTAAGCTTGATGCATTCGAAGGGTAATTTTTATGCAGCAAAAACTGGACTTCATTTGCAAATACGCTTAAATGGTCAAGGGGTTGAAGTCTTCTTAGAATCTATGACACACGCTTAAAAAATTATGCAGTACTTATAAGGGTTCATAGTTGCCACGAAACCTTATGAAATGACAGGGTTCGTTGACCGCAACGCGATAATTCAAAGAGAAGGAAACGCCTCTTTTTATTTGCAAAGTTGAGAAAGTACAAGAATTAAAAATATTGCAGCGAGATTCAGTCGCATTATGAAAATTAAAGTGCAATCAAAAACCATTCTTATTTAATACAACACAAAGTTTATAAATATGTGGCGATTTGTTAAAACTACAAACCACTTATTCTTTTAAAATTAACTGACAGGAAGCTGATGCAGAGGTTTATTGGACCTCACTTTCTTGCATTTAATGAGCGGCACTTTTATTTTGTCAGTTTTTGAAATGAAATTCTGACAACATTGTAAAAAGAATTCAACTGATAATAAGCCATGAAATCAATAAAAATATATAATATTGTTGCTCAGACTAAAGAATTATATATAGACTAGACGGCCAAAATAAAATTCAAAGCCAAAAATATTGATTTGGTGCAATATTCTCGATTTTTCTATACAAATCGTTTACTTTCTTTAAGTAAAATTTTATAAAATAATACTAAAAATAACACTATATTATTTTCTATTGTTTAAACATTAGTTCTCTTCCACTTAAAAAAGGGACAACAGTAGCATTTTTTACTATAATAAAATCGCTTAGCTATTCTTATTTACTAACATTTATTTACTTATCACAGTAATAAGTATTCTATTAATATTTATATACTGTTTCAAAACATTGTTTGGCTTCATGTTTAGTTCAATGACACTGTCTATATTCTATATTGTTCCTTAGTCTGAGTGTTATTTGGTACACATTTCTCTTTTAGTTACGTTAATGTATGAAATTTTCTACAGATGTAGGCAGGAAGGATGATGTATAATAATTATCTTACTAATATTATAAATGTGAAGGTTTATATGGATTTTTGGATGTTTCTTACTCTATCACGCCAGAAAGGCTGAACGGATCTAGATGTTTGGCAGAGATAGATTATAGTCGGGAATAGAACATAAGCTTTTTATTCCGGAAAAATTTACGGTTCCAGTGGGATAGTTTTGTTTTTCTAGTGTAGAATAATTCGTTTGTTTTTTTTGACCCTTACATTGCCTTTGAATTATTGGTATGTTTAAATTATTAACTGACTTAACGGCAACACACATGATATTAATAAAAAAATGTAGGACATTTTTCGATGTTTACATTTAAACGATTTAAACGATGTTTATGTTATGTATTATGATGATTATTTTAATTAGATCCTATGTCAAAATAAATGATAATCTCGGTTATCCAAATTTAATTATAAATTTGGAGAAAATGGCAGATATAGAACGTTCCAATAAAGATTTATTAATATTTTGTATTTGGTACTAATATTATGTAAGTGTTCGTTACCGCATGACTTGTTTAACATTTACAGTAATATCATATGAACCAAGTCAAGAGTGATTAATTATTATTAGTAAACAATTATTATATTCTTATCGATATTGAGGTCAAATCTATAGTTTTTAAAATTTTCGTCTGTTTGGGAACGCATCACGAGCAAACAACTGGACAGATTTTGATGAAATTTGGTATGATGATAGCTGGTTATCCGGGCCCTGTCTTACCGCGGGAAAATATCTTATCTCTGAGAAATCTATACTAACCGTATAATAAAAGTGTAACTGATCGCTGCCTATACATGGAAGATATTTGAGAAATACTATTACTTACTAATATTGGCGGTATTTATTAACGCAATAGAACCCAAAACAATGATTTTTAGAATTTTTGTCTGTGTGTGTGCGCATTTGTGCGCGCTAATCTTAGAAACGGCTATAGCGTTTTGAATGCGGTGTTCACTTATTTATTGTGGTAAGCTTCGCTTAACATTGAGTATTTGTTTCATTTCAATCGGTTCACAAATAAACTAGTTACGTCAATTTAAAGAATCATCTAGAGACGGATCCGAGCAAAGCGAGGGTGAGACGATAGTGTTAATTTATTAATGTAAATATAAATAAATAAAGAATACCCTGCATGTGTTTTCATAATACATAGTCTTGTCTTGGCCTTGTAATACTTGGACGGAATCACATGCGTCGTATTGATGTTGTAAAAACTGTAAAGTAACGGAGATAATTTTAAAACAACATTATTATTTTTAACCATGTGTTCTAAAACTATATACCCATTAATTTATCCTACTTAGCTTAAGTTAAGTATAAATAAAAAAAATATAATAAAATAAAATATAAATAATATATATTAAATTAATTTTAAATTAATGACATTTCATACGTACCTACATACATATACATTAAAATTCAGTTTGTAAAAAGCAAAAGATATTAATACTTGTTTATAAATATTTTATGTGTTATTTAAGTTTAAACTCATAGAATTAAAGCAAAATATGTTTCTTGTGATATAAGCTTCTGTAAAATACTAAGTATTTTCTAGGCAAGCGCGCTCCAACCTAGACCTCATCAGTGCTTCCCAGCGCTGATTGTAGTCAAGCGCAAGCCTATCGTACAATAAAAAAAAGTAGATAACTCATAGTGAAAAAGTTGTGAAATGATTTGTCTGACGACAAGATATTTTGTTATATTATTTGTGTATTTTCTCTGTAAGTGAATTTTGTAATTATTTTGAGAAAATAAATGTCTTAAACCATAAACCATAAGCTTGTGTTATTGATTTTATTAAAATTAATAAGACATACGGTCTAAACGACAAATGCACGTTACGCAACTACCATTATGTAGAAACAATCAGCTTGATGGACGTAGGACGCCACGCCCCGCTTTGAGCATGACACTCTAATGACCATCCACTAATTAATAGGTACATTTCGTCCCTGAATTATTCATTGTTTTGCATATCGAGCTGTTTGGTCTATAAATTGGTTTCAACGTCCAATTTGCGTCAATGTTTCTTC